TAATAATAATAATAATAATAATAGTGGTATAATTTTACTGTGTTGGGAAGTAATCAATACTCTTATATTAGAAACACTAGTAACAAAAAGTGTATTTAAACCCATTAAAATAAGTCAGTTTTATAAATGCAGCCAACTAAAATGTTGCTAACTCGTTTATTAACTTTCGTATAAAATAAAATATAAAAAAATCAATAAGTCTGATCATACGACTACCTATAATACACATTAGATATGTATGAGTGTAAAAAAATCATAAAAGTCGACATTGTTACGCTTATTGCTTGTGTGCATAGATACATATTTGTGTATGTATGTGTGTAAAATGTGTCTTGCTTTGTACTCAGATGTTTGTGTGTATGCGTACATACATATGTGCATATATCTAATGCATTGGTCATCTACCTTACTTTTAACAAGATACTGTGAATCATAGGGTCAGAGTGAGAAGATTTTCGTTATCTGTGCCGATGACACTCAGCATTATCTCCCTCTTCTTCACCCTATTCAGGGTTTACCCTTATCTATAGTTAATATTTATTATTGTTATTTTATTCCTCTTGGTTCCGAGTGAAACACCGCGCTGCATTTTTCAGCTGTAGTGATGATTATTTTTTACGGGGTTAGGTTGCTAGCCTTGCGCACAACCTCCTCCCCGCCCTTCCTATTGGGTTTACTACTGACTAAACGATTTGTAAAAGTGTGTCTACCGGGAGTTGAATCCCAGGCGACATGAGTGGTCGGCGATTATTTCACTGCTTAACCACTATCACACATATACTTAATAAGATGTAATTAATGGAGACTTTCTTACAATATTACTATAAGTGTAAACAAAAGTTCACAGAACACACGATAAATAACTGGTGTTCTTGTTACTATTATATTTTTGGGAACATGTTATTCTTTAGATAATGAACTTAAAACTGAATAAATTTCCATAAAATGAAACGGGATTTATTTTATTTTATTTTATTTTATATCTTTGATTACAGCTTGATGCCACACCGTATTTTCAGTACAAGTATGGAATTTTCAGCATGGATATCGGTAGCCCAAATTTTGCAGGCCGATCATAGATATCGGGTGTGCGTCGGCAGGGGATCGAACCCCAGACCATGTGCATGGTCGGCGAGAGTCCCAACCACTGTGCCACCAACGCACATTCTACTGTGATGAATGTCAGCGAATATTTGGTTAATAATGTCTGGCATTCGAATTCGAATCGTTTCAAACTGACGAATACAGTTCATATTTTAAGTAACAAACTGTGGCTCATTGATTTTCAGTCAATATGTCTCTGGTTTCAGTAATGCTCCATTGATTTCAGAATAAGAAGTTGGGTTGCGCCTCGGCGGTTCAGTAGCAGAATGCTCACCAGCCACACATATAGTCCGGGCTCCATTCCCGGCCAGTCTCCTAGTTTACTAGCTAACAGTAAGTCAGGATGACAGGGAAGGTCAGCCATGCGGCTGTTACACTCACCCCGTGATGAAAGTAACAACACTTCCAATGAAAATTCAACTCTTGAAGCTTTACGTCCCACTCGGAATCAAAGGAATGAGAAAAAAAACTGAGTAGTATAATTAGCCTTCACATAGTAAGTGTGACTAGCAGCGTGGTACATGGAAGATCTGTGTCAGCTTACTGAGATCTACCTACACAACTACTTCAGTTGATTTTGCTTTATTATCTATCAGTAAGCATTTGACACTAGATCACGAAGTCATTCGGGGAATACAACTTTGACCTAAGTTTCTTACTTCTTGGTATTTGTAACATTTGAAGCTTCTTAGATTAGTGCATTTATATTCATGAAAGAATTTCAGCCAAGTCACGATCTAAGGACGTATATTCAACACTTATCTCGTTATTCAATAAGCAATGCGTTTATCATCTAGTACACAAATATGTCACTGGGAATTAGTCATAAACTAACAAAACTAATTCACTTTGTTTCCCATTGTTCCTACATGGATTTATTTCAACTTCCCCAAACAACTTTTAGAAACAACCAGAAATATCCTAAAACTCAAACATTGAAATTCATTAATGGAGAGAAAATAATACTCTATCTACTGCCTAGTAATGTGATACATTCAATAGCGTATAAACTAAAAATCAATCTCATACAACCTCATAATACATACAATTGTACAAGAGCAGAAACAAGGCTGTATTTAAGAGCTGCAACAAATTTTAAAATCCACCCATTTACATGTCAGTGTTATAATTGTTTTGATTGGTTGAATGTAAAGACAAATTAACTGGATGTTTATTGGTTTATATTTCTAAGTCAGGCATGTGTAGAAAAATCGATAAAATCTTATTATCTTCGTGTTTCAATCACGATAGAAAGAAAGTTCTAGTAGTTGAGGTGCTGAGACTAGGCGAAATAGCTCTTAAGAACATTTTTGCAGCCTAATAGGTTTAATTTGTGACTAAATAAACTAAGTGAAAAGATATTAGGATATATGTGTATATATATCCAAGGTCATAAATGAATAGTTAAAACAATAAAGATTAGAGATAATATGATGCATTGTGTTGCACGGGAATTTACGTGGCGAAGGGATTCAAGTAGGTCACCACAATCCTCATTTAGTGGGTAAAATTACCTTCAGGTTAACTCCAATCTTAATACAAACAATATAGTTGCAAAAATACCTAGTTTCTGTGAAATTTTGGGGAGAGAAATATTATTAAGTAGTGAAGATTTTATTTGTGTCCTTTACTAGTAAAGTAGGAGGAAGATTTAGCAAAAGTCTCCTATGTTCTTGATCGCATAATTGGAAACCGTCCATGATGCTTAAAAGAAATTCTTGTAGCATTATGATGCTGACGTTTAGTAGTTGACATAGCAGCTGAAGTAGATTCTGTTTCTTGAAATTCCACCTCTAAAGTAAGGTTCCCTTCAACAATATTCGTCATATCTGCACTAGTGAAGGCGCTCTACTGAAATTACGAGGTTATCTAATTTTCTGTAGAGCACAGTTCGTCAAATTTACTCAGTTATATTTTGTTCTAACCACCTGTTTATGTGTGCGTCGGTGGCATAGCAGTTAGGACGCTCGCTGACCATGCACATGGTCTGGAGTTCGATCCCCGGCCGACGCACTTCTTTACCTCGCTAAGCCAGAAATAATGCTGGTGAAGAGGAAGGGTTAGGCATGAGGCTAGCAACCCCATCCTGTAAAATAAACAATGCTACAGAAACTTCAACTTACTAGCTTGAAGCCCTATGTTCCACTGGGGAATGTGAAGGAAAAAAACCTGTTTATGTTCTTGAAGACTATTCTGTCCTCACTTAGATTTCTGAATGACTTCCAACACACCCTTTGGTCTGTTTGAAGATATGAGTACGTTGGAAGTTAGAGCTTGTTGCAGATAGAACAAAATTCCATCGAATGAGTATACTATAGAGTACTGTTTCACTTGAAGATTCGGTAAAGGAGTAGAAAAAATCAAATTGAAAACATTTTGTCCAGATTAAACCTACTATTACTATTATTATTATGTTGTAAATAAAAAGTTTATAATCTTAAAATTAAGGGTAATTTAGATTTTTTGTTATGCGGTACTCTTAAATGTTGTTGTAAAGAACATCTGATCCAAACACATACATTTCTAGAGTAAGGTAGATTGCAAGAAAGATAGATTAGATAATAAAAATGATTTGAAATGACCAAAACTTCTTAAAAATAAGTTTTGAAGTAGACGGGTTTTACTAAAGGAAATGAAGAGCAATCAACACAGGGCGTTAAACTGCTAGAAAAGGTTTTTTGGTTGATTTTTTCTCAGCGGATATTATGAAATAAGTATTTCATTCTCTAAAGAAATAATAAAAGCCTATGAAGAGCGAAAGTTTATTATTATGCACTTGCTGAAAGTGTACACCAATGGGTAATCTCATAGTGACAAACACTGAAATTGTAGAATATCTTACTGAATTAGAAGTTTTACTCAGTGACTTTTAGAAAAAAAAAGGTTTTTGAGTAATGCTAATTTCCTACAAATGTTTGTTAATTATTGTATATACGTGAAAGATTGCAGAACAAAAGACCTCTTTCGTACTTTAAGTCGGTTGAATCAATTCGTGTTAAGTAGTGGTCGATAAGGTAACTTTCAGAATATTTAAAAACAACGCATTATATATTATCACGGAACATATTTCAAGTTTGATATTCTGACCAAAGATTAATCAGTCCTCCCGGTTACTGCACACATGAAAGCTATGCATATACAACTATAAAGTTCTTTTCAGTACCTTAGAGAATCTGTCGTTGACAACGTAAGTGGTATACTTAATATTTTGCCCAAGATGAGGTACTTAATATTTTGTAATAAACTAATACAGTCCTAGTTCGAAGAATTTAACTTAGGACTCAGTGTAAGTAACCTCGATAGCTAATTTACATGAGTTCCATTTTAGGAAAGATTGTGATCCGAAAAAAGAAGGTTTTAGGTCATACCGTTTAATAGTAAATATTCTATTTTATTATGGCTAAGTTTCTACACAAGGACATTCTGATACAGGTATTGTATAACATGCTAAACTAATTCAAGCATTTGTTTGAGATATCTATCAAATAGGGTAATTCATAGAAAGACAATATATTAACATGATTTTAATTGTCATATGTTTACACTGGTGACAAAGCTGGCTTTGAAGTCATATTCAACCAGGAACACCAACCCAATATCGGGCCATTAAGATGGTCCAAGGACCATAGCGTGTGTAAATGTAGGACTAGAGAATAGACGATTGGACTAAGCAGATATTATTCCGATTGTGATTGGCTAAATTGTAGATTATTAAAAATGTTAGACCAATTAGATTGAACCAATCAAATTTATTTACATTGTCTGAGGCTTCAGACAGTTTAGATCGATCTACCAACGCTATTAAAGTAAATAGTTCAAGGTTGTTCATATTTGATTGGCTATTTATGCAGAACCAATTGGGTAACTGACTACAGTGCAATTAACCTAGGCGTGTAGCAATCATTACACACTGCTAAAAGCAGGGTTGACTTTTTGTCCTTACGTTGCTGTTCAACACTATCCTAGGAATTGTTGTAAAGTACATCACTCTTCTGATTTAACAATAACTACTGAGTGAGGCTGTACTAAAGAGCATTTCTGCAAATGTTTTCATCACTTTTTGAATAAAATCTACCCTAGAGTAAGTTTACTTGTATCTGCTATTTTCTGTATCATCTAAATTTTGTTTTACCGAGTGGTTGGGTCATATGTGACAGATACACGTTTGTACTACAGGGAAACTAGGCAAAGTGCTCGGTAAATCATGGATTCCGTAGACTGATACTTGTTTTCTATAATAAAACCATTCAAACAAACCATACTTGTATATCACTAGGTTATATCTAATACTGCTAACGTTCATTTTAGTGAAATTTCCTTCATAAAATGAAAAAATCTGTCTATTTTAATTCATTTCTGAATTCACCATACTCCTGTTACTGTACACAATACTTGGTGAATCTCTAAACTTTTAGCATATACACTGCAGTAAAACATCCAGTTAGACATACATTTTCTCGCAAAATTGTTCTTCATTATGGAAGGAATATTACCAAGACAGTTTATGTTAGTTTTACTGGCGATTTCCTAAGGATTTAAAATCTTTTAAGATATTGATTTTGTTCAAAAAATAAGATTCAGTCTTCGGTACATATTACTCCACAACATTTAAATTATTTTTATTAAACTCTACAACCTGTAAAGTTCTCCGGTTTTGGCACTGACTTTCATGAATTGGTACCAGTTAAACGATTACTAGGGACTAAGTCTTAAATTCATTTCTTTCGGCTAACATGTAAGAGTTATTTCACTGGGAAGAAACCTAACAGTCAGCGCTTCATTACTTCATTATTTATATGTTCACACTGCCTCTCTTTACAAACATACAAATGAACTGTAGTATACAATAATATATTCTAGTCTCTTTATTAATAAGGAATATTATTTCGCTTACAGGATGTTTATTTGGTACGATGACTACTGCATGAAGTTCTTTTTCTTCTGTGTATCTATTGGAAGTTGGTATTTATTTATTGATTAGCTTTTATGATGTTTTTTAAATAAAAGTCGATTGCACCAAGTGCATGTGTATGATGGGATACTACGCAATAAATGCTTTCTTTCGAAACATTGTGACAATATTTTTAATGGCTGTCGCTTATCAGAGTGCCTTAATTTTTGGTCTTTTTTAAATTCTTTTAGCTGTTACCATATAAGAAATGCCAAGTCCTCGAGAATTCACTGAAACAAACTCAGGATCTAGGAGAGGTCGTCGTTCGTATATAAAAGCTGAAACGTTAAATAAAGGGATGAATTGTGAACCTATCATATTTCATCGAAATTGCACAAAACGAATTATATCGCAGTCCCCAAGAGGCAAACCAAAACGTAAAGCTGGTCGTCCTCGAAAGTATAAATTGGAGAATTTAGATTCACCATCCTTTTGTGAGGGATTGGATTCATCAACTTGTCCTCTTAACCTTTCCTCAGACAAAATGTCATGCAAACGTCAGCGTAGATTATCGAAGGATGATTCTGAAAGTGTTGTGAATCAGAAATCTGACAAACTGAATATTAAAGTCAAGATAGGTATGAATATTCTTTAGTAAATTTATTGATTTGTTGTACTCTATATTTTTTGATTTGACACCTTGAAGGCAGTGATTAGATGGATTTTTGTTATTTATGCATATCTGTCACTAGTTACTGATTAAGAAGTAATGAGGTTAACACAGAAATGTTATTTTCTGTTTTCAAAAGCTTTTAGTTAATTAATCTCAGATTGGCATACAAAAACCGAGAACACTGGCTAAGTTGCATTGTACATAAAATTAATATACTGTCTGGATTTCTAATACTGGATAGGTCAGCTGTTACTGCTATATTATAATAAACGTTACAAACGTATTATGTCACAAGTGCAGTAGAATCACTTTCAAATAAAAAAGGCATTTAAGTTGGAATTGAAAGAAAGGTTTGTATTTGGTTTTCCTGAAGAGCGATAGTGTGCACTGGTACTGAACAATTTTTCGTACTTTTGACCGTAAGTAATTCTTCAGTGAATATTGAATCTTGTAACCACCATGTGAGCAATGTAGTGGATACTTGTATAATATTAAGTAATTTTGGACTGATTAGTTGACAAGTTTGGCCAAGGTAATCATCCACCATCTACTCCATTTCTACTATGATTGACTTAAATTAAACTGAAACAGTGTCAGCAGCTACAACAGCACATGGTTACTATTCAGGGGAGTTTTTTTTTGTCCGATAATTTATTATTATAACATGCGAGATATTCAAAGTAGATGGTATGAACTTTGAAACAATATCAATATCCATTCTACTCACATCGTTTTCGTCATCCGAAGGGAAGTGTGGCCGATAGAAAGTTATTATAAGCACTGTCAAGTCTTTTGTTGTGTATCAATATGCACTCTACGGTTTCTGAACATTGAAATGCTGTTGATTCATATACTTTATTTCCATCTGTATGGTTGGTTATCTTCACTTACTGTCATAAATTACACCAAGCACAGTCTAGTACCTCATATAAGAATTCTCATCATTACTGAGCTGCATATTTTATTGATATCATAGTTGTCAGATAAGTTCATTGGCATTCAGTCAAAGAAATAAATTTGTAGTTTAAGGATTCTCTACATTACAAGTGTATTAAATATACATTAGTTATTTGATCACTATCTCCAATAGTATTTTGCCATTAGTCTTGTCACCTGTGTAATTGTTCAAGACAAGATGGGTTATTTTCTAAAGTTCAACAAAAAGACTGATGACAGGTAGTTTCAAAGCAATTTATGTTGAAATTCGAGGGAATCAACTGCATTTTTATGTAGATTTGTATGGATTAGTCACTTTTTGGAGTGATTTCATAACAAATACTTTAGTTCTCTATCACCTGTTTTTACTTTCAATAGACTGTGTGTGTATGCAGCATAATTTGCTCTTAATTATAATGTGATACGACTCAAAATAGCACCAATGTGCTATTAGCTAATTCTATTTTAAGGATATATGTACCACTTCATTACTCCAGCCGAAGTAAATTTACTGAGTCTAAACATATCGAGTTAGTGACTGAAGGTTGAATAATTAAACTACTAAGTTACAGATGATGTTTCAGTTTGGTGTTTTTTCCAGCTACATGCCTCATTGTTCAATAAATATGAATCAAAAAGAAATAATGTGTTACGGCCGTTCGACGACTTTGGGGACTTTTGAGTGTAATTTACATTATCAATTACTGTTATTACAACCTTTATATTGCAAAATGAATGCATTTTAAAATACTTAGCTATATTTACGTTTGACCTGTTAGTGAAACATTATTTTAAATAAAATTTAAGAACTGGTGTTATGAATCAATGGAGAGGAGGCCCTGGATATGGGTTTTGTGTTTGACAGTATCCCTAAAGAATGATTGCAATGTGCTGTCACGTGCCTTAGTGATCACGTCTCACACACAACTGGATTTTGATCAATACTTTTTTACTAGACATGTACAATGGTTAGCAGTCAGTCACTGGTTTACAAGTACAATTTATGTTTTGTAAAGAATCAAGGATTGTTCAAGTGTGTAGGGTTACTGTAAAATATGTCTAATGCTTCTTAATTATCTGTGTAATATCATTCAGTATTGAAATTTAAACTGTATTTATTTTAAATTCCTGGGTATTATCTCATGATTTTTTAAAATTTTCTTCAGATGAATCTCCTTACAAACAGTTAACAACATCTTCGTCTCCTGAACGACCAATGGATGAACCAATAATCAAAATAAAAAAATTTACATGTCAGGAATGTGGAATGCAGTTTAAAACGAAAGGAAGATTCGATAAACATATACCTTGCCGTGTTCATCGTGGTTCTGAGTACGTACAAAAACCTCAAGTGAAAAGAGGCAGGAAATCCTTAAATTCAAAGTAAATTTCTTCTTTAAAATAATATTTTCATGCATAATTATTTCTTAGATAATTTCGCTTCAAAGTAATTTTTGATGTCGATGATGAGCGTTTATTGAAATTATGTTAAAACTTTCAGTTTGACTGTCAAGTACTACTTACTGATCGTCATGAGTGGTTGCAAACTACTCCTATCGATTAGTAGTAACTATTACAAGAACTTTCCTCCGGACCTACTTATTAATCTTTAATTTTTGTCATACATTTTTAAATATTTTTCATCAATAATATGTTTAAATAGTTACATAGTACTTTGTGCTAATAAGTGTGGATTAGGTTTAAGGCGAATAGTCTGTTCTTTGTGCTAATTGTGAATTAAGTTGTTGGGCTTTATTTTAGTTATTATAAAGTCACATCGGTGGTTCGGCAGTGGAATACTTGCCAACTACTTACGTGGTCCACGGTTTGATTCCCAGCCGACGCATTCCTAAACATCGCTTAGCCAGTAGTAAGCCCGGTAAAGAGAGAAGGTTGGACATGACGCTAGCAACCCAAAACCGTTGTACATTTGTATTTTGTAATCATGAAACACAAACCTCTGAATACGAAAAGCTGCTCTTTAAAGTATACAGTTTGTGATGAGATTGTACTATGGTTTCTTTTTTGATAGTCAAAATGCTTGGATCACAATGTAATATATGTATAAAATCTTGTAGATAGCTCTTTATTTATTACTATTCAAAAAAATAATAATAAGTTGAGTTTACATGATTAGTGCATTGTTAGTAGAGAACACAATGGTGGGATCTAGATGTCAAATGAATTGGTGTAACAATGTGACATTTCTTAAACAATAAGTATTCATTATGTAAGAAGAAAGACGAATCTAAACCAATTAGTCACAGTAGAGTTTGTATTGTCTGGAGGAATTATGCTTGTGATGTTGGATATGTTTTGTTTTAGTAGCTCACATAGTATCTAATTCCGATTCCCATGTTCTTTTTCCTTACATTTTAACAATGACGTATTTTCAGTGTGGTTATATTCAGCGATTACCTGTTATCTATCTTCATTAATTTCACATATCACTTTACAACTTCAAATTATGATATTAACAGTTTTATTTCTTAAAAGAACACGCCAGTTTTTACAGGCTTGAACATGTGATGTACATTACTAATACTTGTTAGTAATTATGATATCAATTCTTACTGCAAAACTAGTATAAATATTGGTTTGAATAAATGAAATATTGAAAAGAGTACTAATATCTAGATAAATGTTTGATGAGACTGTCTTCAAATCGAATAAGTTATAAGATAAGATAAGCAAACCCACAAAACAACACAATACGTGGGAATCTTGCCAAAAGATTACGAATTAAACTTCTTCAAACTGCAGAAGCAATGGCAATTCACATATTGAATCCTGAACTCTGCATACAAAAGAAGTTTGTTCAGTCACTAAATCTACAATGGTCCTGATCTATCTCAACACCAAATACGTAATTTTGTCTTACCTCTTTCTTCTTTGTTTGTCTGTTTCTTAATTGCATTATTTTCTACCCCCACCCTCTATTAAACCTCTACCCTCATGACGACTGTTGCTAACTCCATTTTCGTTTATTTTTAAGTGAATTCTACTCAGATTATTAACTTGACTCTCATTCATTTTTCATTGAACCCTAGCAATTAGATTACGTCACCCAACCTACTTTTGTAACTGTATTTTAGTTTCTAATCGATTAACGCCTTCTAAATTACGTAATTTGTTGTCAAAAATTAGCAATTGCATTAACACATCTTTGGTAATATTCCTTTTGTTGCCAAGAAAAATTACTATGAATTTGCGGTTTGTACAGCTTGAGAATGATATCGCCGAAAAGATTAATTCTTTGCTGAACGCCTTTTCTTTTCTATGACTGAATGGGAATTTTCAAATTATAAGATAATTGGTGATATTAAAAGCTATAGAATACCTATTGCTTATCAGTTCCATGTGGAATTCCTAAAAGTTTGCGTTATTAAGCGGTAAGCACTAGTCAGAGATGACTGGTACTAAAAGGAAACATAAAAGCTTATCATAAAAACTTGCACGTTGCATATACACATATATATGTATAAATATGGCTTAATGAGCACTTTCCTACGTGTTAAAACAATTATTTAGTAATCTCTAGAAAAAATTTCATAATGAATTGGTAATATGTTCTTTTTATTGATATATATACTGTGTATGCTTTGTAGATATATTCATTTAACCCTTATCGGTTATCAATTTATTCACGAAATTGACATTTGTGAAAAAAATACCACCTTATTTATTTATTTATTTATATGGATTTATGAACAGATAATTGTTCTATGATAGATTTAAGTGTTGAAATAAAATATTCTATTGTATGAATCACTTAATTCTATTTTGTTAGCCTTATGGAATAGCTGTACGTCAGCTATTTCAATAATCCCATTATTAGTATTATTTCTCTATGAAGTTGAATCTCTCTAGTCTTCTCATCATTACACTGATTATTTCTTGTTTTCTGTTATTTGACTACTACCGTATTTTTGCTGTTTGTTTGAATATCTTCAGCTTCTTTTAGTGTGATAATTGTTTCAATTTGTGGTTACTTTCATTAACACTAGCGTCAACAGTAGTGTTGTGTAGAGTAGAATTAGCCAACAGACTTGTTTTTTCTTTAAAAATGATAGATTTGTATCTAGTGTATAATTGGTGTGTGTATGTGTGTGTGTGTGTGGCTTTTTGCTATTGGCTAGATAGATAAGTAAATGATTGGCTATAATTAAGCATATTTGTTGTCTAACCGACTAGTTTTTATTTAGTCAGATATTTAGGCTTTTTGTTTGAACTAAGAAGAATGATAATTGTTTCCAGTCAGCTGCATATAGAATGTGTAATTGTCACTGCTAGATATCACGTTTTTATCAATAATTCACCCACAGTAGGCAAACATCTAAATAATACAAAAGGGTGTATCGGTTTGATAGACTTGGCTTATAAAACTTTGTTGGATTTATGTATATCTATCTTTTTTAAGTAATATAGGAAAAATAGTTTACTTTGTATAACCTGGGAAGAGTACACGTATTAGTAAGAAGTTTTTGGTGGAAAAATATTATTTTCTCTGTAAAAAAGGATAAATATGTTGTGAAATTGTATGGTATCATTGGTTCCTTAGGTGATGTCACTTCGTGACGAAATCTACTTTTCTATAGTTGGTTTGTAAGGATTAGTTTTGTTTTTACGAGTTGATCACGGATTGATATCAGCTAGAGAACCATTGAAAACCAGCAGGGAGTACTGGACAGCTGTTTCATCCTAGTTTGTGAATCATCGGCAGTATGCACCCACTGGGATTCGAACCCAGGACCTTCCGGTTACAAGGCAAGCTCGTATACCATTCAGCCACTGGAACCCGATTCAATGACCAGCCCATGAATTCTAACTTCTACCAATTCGTGATTTAGCGCGACCCCAACTACTACTTTGACGTTAGGATCTGTTGTTCTATGGCTAGTGTTGGGCGCGATTATTTTTATTTTTGAACAGTTTTGTAAATTTCTGTCAGTTGTGAACACTACGCTAATAATGTCAACTGATATTATCAATATGCAAATACATCTGAAGCTTGTTTGACAATTACTCAACGTATTTCATAGAGGTTTTTTCATTCCTTTACATTCCGAGGGCAACGTAGAGCCTCAGGCTTCAACTTTGAAGTTTCAGTAGTGGTGGTGTTTTTTTATGCGGTGGGGTTGCTAGCTTTCCTTCCAACCAACCTTCCTTCTTTACCCAAATTACTACCGGCTAAACGAGGTTTAGGAGCGCGTTGACCGGAAATCGGACTGTGGACCACGTGAGTGGTTGACGAACATTATGCTACTGACCCACCGACATACTAATGGGATGTAGATAACGTGAAATAGGTGGTGATTTTTCTGTTGTGCATGTCATGCAATTGACTTTGGACTAGTATATCTCTGTATTTACTGGAATTTGCACAGTCTTCATACGGACATGAATATGGGCATATATGTGGCTCATGAGAGACATTTATCAAAATATTTATTGTTAAATAAGTGTGGAATGGTACTTTACTAGTCTAAGAAGATGAGTCACGAAAGTCACAAAATACAGTTTAGTATTCATGTACACACCAGTTTATGATAATGTGCTTCAATACCTTACATCTAATGATGTACAGAACTGATGAAAACTTGTCGAATAATTCTTGGCATATTCACCTTTATATGGGGCAAAAATAACTAAGTTGAGATGTTTGTTTGTCTGCGTGTATTTTACTAAGATACGCTTAGAAAGTAACGTTGTAATACAAAGAAGGTACTCCTTATGCTTGATGACTTTCAATGTAAATAAATGTATTGAGGAGGATAATATCAAAAGTTAATTTCCATCCTTAAAATTCCTCTCTGTGTATTTAGTGAATTTTACAGAGAAAATTCTCATTACTTTATGAGTTCTACTCATCCTAATTTAGTGATGTCTTAAGGGAATTTTTCTCTTGTGTTTTTTTCCTATCCCGTATATTATTTTGTTAACTTACGTGTCGGAGTAAAATTTTATAAGAATTTTAATAACATTAAAGTAATGTGTGTGTAGTTTACTAAATATCATAATCACGAATTTTTAAATAATTTTAATTGTTACAGGTCGCTGAACAATATGAAACTACTTCCTTCCACGGTTCAACGGAAAGGCGTTGATGATAGTAAGTGAAGGAAGCTTTCTTTGTAATAAAATCAATTTCTTTTTACTTTTATTGTGTGTGTGTGTAAATACCACGAGTTTTAGAACTTTAATTGATAAACGTGTAAAGTTATCTAGGAACTACCGCTTTAAAGGTGTTAAAATGATGTGTTCTAGAAAGAAAAAGGAGATTCGCCACACTTATGACTGTAGTTACTTCTTTTCCAAATACAATGGATTAGGATTTGTGCTTCTTTCTATTAAAAAACCCCCATTAATTCCATTCCCCAATTTAAACTATAAGAATATATTTAAAAACTTAAGTAGTAAATGATGAAAGGTGAAAATCGAATAACTTTGTTGATGAAAATGCTGAACCAGCCTTACTATGAGGCCTGTTAATTCTCTTAATAATAATAATGTCTTTGATTACAGTTTCGGTAACCTTTTATTGAGCATAACATTATAAGTCTGATATTTGCTTTGATTTCTTAGTGTCTGGGTCAAACTTTTGTATAACTGAATATAATTACTCTACCTAATGCGTTTTTGATTTCAAATGAAAAACCAATGGCTGGAAACAGTCAGTGATATGGCTCAAAATCGTTCTCAATGGCGCAGATGCATCCTTCCAATGAAACTATATTATTCTTCGTTATTACTATTTCTTTTGTCCCATATCCCTGTCTATTGTCTCTATTATGCATTTCTTCTACTTTCTTCTCTTGCTTTGTGTGCTACATGGAATGTGGCGACTTGAACTGCTGCACATCGATGCAAAGTTCTATGTTGAAAACAGACAGACAGACAAATGAATATGTCCTTTAGAACTAAACATTGCCTTTACAAACTGAGAAGGCCGAGCAGTTAAATGGCGATCGTACAACATATTGAATTAACATAATTTTGGCATCAAATGTATATTGGATTCCATCTTTCTAGATGAATAAGAATGTATTCACTGTCATGAGTTAAACTTCTTGTAGAGTTGATAAGCTTCCACTAATAAATAATCCCCATATGCTGAGAAACAAACATCCGGTACTTTGAATGTTAAAATTTTGGTGATTTGTAACTTGTGCTTCCTGTCTTTGACAGTTGTATGACTTTATTGATTAGTCCAGTGCTGTTTTGTTTTGTATTAGTGCTCTAGTTGATGTTGATCCATTTTGAAATTCACTTTCGTCCTAAAATTCTGTTGGATAGTTAGTTACTGAAAATTGAAACAACATTCTTATTCGGCTCAGTATAATAATTAAAGCTTGATTGTTAAATCAGCAGGAGGAATAGTGATATATGAATTACTATTATTCTTATAGGACGGAACAACCTTGTGGTATTTCTTGATTTTCAATTAATTCTTGAAGCAATTCCACCCCATGAAAGTTTCTGCGCACTAGTGAGGATATAAGTTGACGGGTTGGCTAAGTTAAAGTATCATAGCCAAAGTCAACGTCTTTCAAAAGTTGACCTTCAAGAACCAATCAGATATAGGGAATGCTATGAAAGGTCATTCCAAATCAAATCATGTCTGCCTTTTTGGACCTTCAGAGGGTCGATACAATAATCTACTCATTCCTTAGGTACTTTTGTGTAAATCTATACCGTTAGATAGGTATAAGTATAAAACTTGGGCACTGTGGTAGAGTATAATTCCATAATGGATAAGATTTTATTTTGATAAATCACACTACACTGTGTGATTTATCAAAATGAAATCTTATCCATTACCGTTAGGTAGGGTTATGTTTTTTTAAGTTAAGGTTTAGGGTCTAGAGTTAGGGTTAGGGTTAGGAGTAGGTTGAAGAACAGTGTCAGAAATATCAGTGTATCTCAAAGTACCATGACCTACCGTCACCTGGATGAATGCATCTTTCGCGTATGGTATGGTTTCTCCATAGATCATCTGTGCAGTGACTGAGAGATATTCTTACAACATATACGCGATAACTGCATAGTGTAATATCATGTTTGCAATATTTTTTAGTGCATTTTTCAACGATTATGCAACCTTTCCCCATCTGAATTCTGACTGACTGTTCAACGTCACCGCGGCTTTGGCTGTCATAGTTTAACTTTGCCACCGCGCTTTTGTCTCAATATCCTCGAATATGTAGAGCTGAAGTGGTCACTTCCGTTTTGAATTTCCTCAGTTGGTTGGTTTTATATGATTTTGCATTGCGTGTTTAGAGGAATGTGGTGATCATATCAGAAGTTACATTTAGCTACTCTTCTACACAGCTGGAATGCCTGTTATGGCGTTTGCCATCCTATGCGCGAAAATACCTCACCCGTAAAGTGTATGGTTATAACTTCAATATGATATGAAATCAAGCCTATTTAACCGAACAAATTATTAAATACTGTCATCAGAAGTCAATAAAGTTTCCCACAAATTGTCATTGACCTCAAATGTATTATAAATACGTGAGATTTCTTTTTGCATGAAATTTTGTACTGCCATTATCATTGAATGTGTGTTTGTAATCATGTGTGTCTATCCACGTCTCTCTCTCTTTTTCTGTATGTGTTTGCATACATACAAATGTATGTCGTGTATGCCTTTTTCTTTGTAATCATGTATGTTCATATGGTTTTGTGTTTATTCTATTAGCCAATAAATAAACTGTATGCTAAGATCACACTATAGAACGAAAAACTAAAAAAATACAAATTTACTTAAATTCTAACAGTACATATGATTTAAAATCTTGGTTATTCGAAGGAAAACTATGGTCTCCTTTTTATAAATTTCTTTTAGAGATACTGAAGTTATCTGTAGTTAAATTCTTCTCATTGTTGCGCTGGTTTTACAACATTCTTAGCGATACACTTTCTTTAGTTTTAATTCAGTGACAGGCACATCCAGTTGACGAGTCCCAAATAGGACGAAATGCGTATCCTGGATTTGTCTGCTAATCACCAACCCCCAATTAACTTCTATTTTCTTAAGTTTTGTTTCAATGTCTACTTATAATTATTTATTAACTAAAACAATAACTTGGTACATTATGGGCACCAGGAGATGAACCACAAAAAACTTCACAGTTTGTACGAGGTCTGGGATACTGCTCGAATGCACAGACTGAAGCAGCATCAGGAGCTGCTTTCTCGTGGATGCCAGTTACCGAAAAAGGTTCATACGCTATTCGATCCACCCGGATTCTAGAGTTCATGAACACCGTAGGTTTGGAATCAGCATTTTCCAGGTCCCTTAGGTAGAGATGTATGTCGGCTAGTCTAGTTGTAAGTGCCAGACATCATTCACTCTATCACTTTTGTAAAGAACACCCCTGTTGCATGAAGGAAGTGAAAGAGATTTATTTGGAAGAAGGTATGAATCAATATTTGCTTGACATAAGGTATGCACGTTTGGCGAAATTCACAAATGTCACAACATACCTTATATCTAGTAGTAGTGTGAGGGATAACAGCTATTTGGAAAAAGCATAATTATACTTGGTACTAGTAGTAGTATAACTATATGACTGTGACTGATTTGTATTAAAATGTTTTCTCAACCTAATTAAGTGATGTAGCTCATTGTCGTATACACAGAATTGTATGTGAATGTTAACTTGCAACTGTATGAGTGGTTTAAACTTCATTATATGCCCTCACCAACATTTGTAGTGAACTTTACTGCTGCCTGCACTTCACAATATATAAACTTTGTTCATTATACAGATAAAAGGTTAATTCATCACCATCATCATCTAGATGGTGGGAGTTCGATATTGTCAGTCTACTTGTCAATAGGAATTATATTGAGAATTGCATTTAGAATGAGTGAGAATAATGATGAACATTGTTTAGTAGGCATATATAGCTTCGAGATATATATATATATATATATATATAATAATATGGTACCATATTAGATGATTGGCGGCAATCGGCCATAGGAAACCTTGGACCTAGTTTTCGTCCTAGTCGACACTCGTCAGCAAGGCGTATCTGTAAACTTGAAGGAACTAATCTTACTTCTGGGATTCGAACCCGCGTCACCCATGCTGCAGTCAGAAACGTTACAACTGAGCTATTCGGGCTCGCGATTGACCTAGATCAATACATAGTTAAGGGAAATAAAATAAATGGTTCAACGATGAATTTTGACAGCTTACTGGAATCATCACTCGACTACCTGAATTCCTCCCATTCAACAAAATGCATCATATCTTTGAATAAAGCAAGAATAACAGTGGTTTGTGCAGAATAATATGGTACCATCATTTATTTCGTTGGCTTCTCATCAGCTACCAGCCTAAATAAATTATTAATAAGTTCATGTACAGAAAAGTCTTAATACACTTGCAAATTCTACATGATGTCAGTTGACAGGAGGTTCCGGAATTAGTGAACAGTGCTCAGAAAGTTACGCTTATACAGTTTTCACACAGGCAGTTCAAGTTTAAACAAAGTAAATGCATGCATACAATGGTAAAGGAGTTACGCAATAAAGACGAGAGATGCGTAATATGGTAAGTGAATAATAAATTAAGTAATAATGTACTGAGTTCAACTCAAGTCATAGAAACAAGAGACAAACAAAATTACACTATATCAAGCGGGTTGAGGTTAAAGTCAAAGATTGCGTAATCAAATGAAAGAGAGAATAAAGACATCCAGTTACCAGAGTGGCAAGGAAAGACTGATAACTGCTTCTTTCTGAACACATAAATCTGGTTTCAAGCGTTTGATAGAAATTGCTTCGGCAAACTTGAGGAGAATTGAGCTTTTTTGTCTGTTGGTAATTTTAAAGGAATTTGCGATTTCCACTCCATGACCCGTAATGACACTAATGTAACCGTTTTTTTCCCGTTGAGACGTAGGCTTTTCGGTACATGTTCAGAAAATCGGAGGTGTGCCCTTTATGTTCTCCAAATGTAACTGATCCTGCGGATACAAGTACATTTGTATACACACAGTTGGAGTTAACATGAGAAGGGTATCTGTCGACCTTTGACTGCACTAAGGAGCATGTTTTCTGATGGACGGGAACCAACTAAGCTGCGAGATAGG